GCAATATTTCTGTACAAATACGAGATCACGTTCCTTTTAAGCTCTATTACTATTACTAGATAGTACAAGATTTCTAAATTCTGCGAGTTATAATTGTTTTGGTTACATTGTGTCATTTTTTACTAACTTTACTTGATAATTTCATTTAAAGAGCAGTGTCTTTAGTGGGTGAGGATGATCGCAAAGTGATGAAAGAAATAATGAAACAAGCACCTTATCCGGTTAAAGCACGAGTCATAGCACCAGGTTAGTTTTAATAATCTCTATTTCATGGTTAATAAACATATTTAACTAACATAACGTCCCAGAATCAGTCGCAATGGTCTAGGTGAGTTCATTGTTTATCGTTCCTTGGATCCCGTGTTCGAAAATTATTTCATACCGTTTATTCTGTGGATTCATTCGTTCTTATCGAATCATATTCTCTATGCATAATGTTCTTTTGCTATCACTGCTACTTTAATATTTATTTTGACAATTTACCTCGCCAAGCTTATGTAGTGTGGTAATTTGAATAGTCGCGCATGTTCCAGCCTCTGAATTATTACCTGGGTAACTTGGTCGCATGACTGGAGTTTTGATAACCATGTTTACAGTCTGTTAATCATTATACATGACTAGGAGAATTTGCGGTTATAAGTTGTGATCAAAATTTGGGTGAATGATTTTGCACAAATTGTGAACCGAGTAAATAAAATCTAAAAGACAAAATGTATATTTGCGCAGAATTTAAGGTGCAGAAAGTGATAACTTTTTTCTTTATGCAAATTAAGTAAACATTGGCGATGTCCGTCCTAAAATGCTCGAAATTGATAAGACTAATTACTGTGTACCCTAACAGTGAATATGACATGGTGCTTAAGGTAAATTACGAGAAATACCTGATCGTGGTGCAGATTATGTTAGAATACTTGATGTGATTTAAAGCATAATCAAGGGTGTTTGGGTCGCTAGAAAACGTTTCCCCATTATATTTTTAAGTTTATAAACAGGACTACTGACTTACAGCCGATGTCAATTCGCAATGAAAGCCGCATGCTTAAGTCGTAATCCTAATTCACAACTGTAGCTTAATTCCTTATATCTAACTCTTACCTTTTTACCTCATAGCTGATGTCAATTAGTAACGAAAGCCCTTTAAGGTTACAACCCTAACTCACAGCACTGAACTAACTCCTGATATGTAAAATTAATCTTTTTCCTTTACTATGAAGAACAATTCAAGACGTAAGGGATAATTAATCATATCAAGACTATTATTTCACTGCAATTTGATTGCTTTATGTTGTTATTTGTTTTATACCTAAACTCCGTTTCCTGAGAAACTTTCCAAGACGATCAGCATAACATAATTTTACCGTTTCAACGTTTCGTGCAAAACTCTGGTTTTACGGGGAAAATAATCAAAATTACTAAATAAAAATAAGATCATAAAGGCAGTTGTGTGCAAAGCAAGGGCCAAATCACGTACCTTTGAGTATAAAGTGACTCACCTTTTTGAGATTGTATTCGAATTGTGATATATAAATGTGTTTAGTCACCTAAACACCTTATATAAATCCAGCCTTACGCTATAATCAAAATCAAGTCAATCGTCCTAAGATTTTTTTGAAGAAACCTAGTTCGGGCTACCATCCTGAACGCCAGAAGTATTAAGGTTCAGTTGCTGTTATCTTTACGAATATAGCATTATGGATAACTTATTTAGTAGTTCTTAAAACAACACCTTAGAAAGGAAGACGAAACTAGTCACTTATAGGAAGTATGTATTTCGTAAACTGCGAAGTAAGCTTCAAACTAACTAGTTTTTTCTCATTCTTGACTAATTACTTACTCTGCCATCAAAAGTAATGTATCCATCTGCTTTAATTTAAAAGCCAATAAAGATATACGAATAATAGAAAGATCTAATGTAACGTTTTGCGCTTTCACATCTACATCATTCTGATAATTGTCAAATAAGGATACTATGAATTATACAGCACAAAGTTGTCTCTAAACTGTTTCATATGTAATCCTAACACAACTATAGAACATCGTACTTTTGGATATACCTTGAAGAGGATGCCCATATATACTTTGAAAGTTCTAGATCCATAGTTTATTAATTTTAGTTTTTCATGTATAAATGCTTCGAAGAATTAAATTGTGTAATGCTTTCTACGGATATTTTCTAGATGTTATTGCTACTTATCAGTCCAAAATTAATCGCTTGGAACCTATAATTGGAAAAATTTTGGCTGCAGAAGCTGAGGAGCGAGAATTGAGGGCCGCTCAAAGTCAACTATCCAAGGCTGAAGAGTTAGTTACTTGTATGAAGTCTGAAACGGCACCGCTCTCATGTGTGGAAAGGAGAGTAGACTGGTTCGCTGAACGTAAACGTGATAAGAAGACTATTGGTCGAAGTAAGCTTAAAGCGCGCAACTTGTACATGTGTCTTGTATTAACTTATACCTTGATAAATGCCGAATTTACTTTTTTGAAAGGATACATTTCCAAACAGGTTTCTCTGGAGTTAATGTAGATTTGTTTAATCAGTCGTCTACGTAGAACTTGACACAATTGTATATCAATCCAATTTGAAACACCATTTTATGTTAGCACAGTAAAAGGAGGAAATTGACAAGATCAGGAACGCAGAACTACTTTTTAAAGCTGTAACAAGACGTCCGTCTTCCTCCAATGGAATAGCACCATCAGCCCTTAAAACCGATCAGATAAAGTATATCTAGCCCTCAGACTGATAAGTATCTTAGTTCTGTTAGTAATTTCAAACAGCCATTTGAAAGAACTAGGTATAACCCATCAGTACCATCTACTTTACTGCTCCCATTTAGTTATGAGCGTTTACACTTGAGATTCCATTGAGAAGTACTAGGCATCTGAATATTAGCTAGAGGCCAACTGAACTGTTTTCCAAAGTATTTGAATCGCCTTGTTTGAAAATTGATCAAGGTTAACTAAGAGCCAACTTTCTAACTAATCTTGAGTTGTCTGTTCTTACCTGTCACCACTGCTACTCCATCTCCTTTGCTTTCATTATGTACAACTACTCTTGATCATCTCATAAACTTTCTAGTTTTATTAAAGTTCCCTTCGCTTCTCGTGTTCGGAACCTTTCAAAATAAGTTCTCAAGGATCTACTAATTTGGTAGATCCATTGGTCCTCCTCGAGATCACACTGCTGACTTTTGCAGAGAACTGCGAAACGCGCTAGGCTATCCTAGAATAAACGTTTACTTGTTGGATTGCTTTCTTTCAACATGTCCATAACATTTATTTTCAAATTGAACTCCGTCTTTTTGACTAAACTCTCCTATATTTAACAAATCCTCAAAGCATGGTCGGAGTATAAACGTGTTTTAGAAGAGAATTGGTTCTTTTAGTGACCCTCAATAAGTCTTTAGATCCGTGTACACCGAATCGCACTAGTTCACCAAATCAGCGTGGTAAGGTTTTTGGGAATGATTGGGATTAGATCTTTTATTCGTGTCCTGGAGAAACGGAATACGCTTTTATCCCATTTAACAAGGTTTGAGTGTTGAAAGCTCCAAAATATTTATGGAGCGACTTTAGGAAAACAATAATATATCGTACGATGAGGTTGTCAGCATTGGTTGCTCATCAAAGAAAAGATGGGATCGGAGTTTATAACGGGGAGAAGTGTTAACTGAGAATAATATTAACTCCTAGCAATTAAGAGCAAAATCTACACAACAATCATATCACATTAGCAGACCAGCTTATTTTGATCATGCAATGTTGACTAAATTCCCGTCAATCTGTATTAAAAACACCTAAATGCTTTAAGGGGCGAATCGTTATGCTTTCATATACTGGTGTCGTCATCAATAGTTATTTTGATTGCTATTTACTTCACACGGTTACGTCTTCGATAAACATAACATCGTAAGTCGTTTGGGTTGAGATATACATGATGTTGAATAGGCTGTCATATATCTAGCTGAGAATATGCAGGTGGGCAATATGTTTTATGAAATGTAATTACAAATTGATAATCCCATACAGGTTTAAATACAAAGCCAGTTTTAGTGTGTGAATAGTAATACTACTTAACTTTCTAAGCTAATGTAGGGTAAATTAGAAAATGGATTTCATTTTATAACATTTTTATAGACTATATTTAAACTAATACCGAGACACTATACTTTCTCAAAAGACACTAAACCTTCTGAAATCAAGTGGTTTGACTAGTTATTTCTGGGAAGAATTAGAGACGATTTTGCAAAGAAAATTTACTTTTAACGATGACATTTGCTAAAGCTACTAGAACATAGTATAGTATTGAGTCGCAAATCGTTAGAAAATACCTAATACCAGAAGTAGGTTCTATTATGGTCTGACGGCTAACAAAAATGATGTTGCGATGGAGATAGTTTATAACTGAGAGATGAACATGAAAAATCGAGAAGTTTATTGTTGTAATAATTATGAAGGAAATGATGAGTCGGTAGGAACCGTCTATTGAGTATGGAAGGGGACAAGATACGAGGGAGAACATATTGCTTTTGTACATGGATTAAGCTCATATTTGTGAATTGCTAAAGCCTCTATGATTTGCTTGAATTTCCCTCGGACCAATTTGCTTGACTCTATGGATGATCCTAAAAGATTTTTGGTCAAGCAAGGTGACCAGAACTTACAAGATGTTCCACAATCGAACCATTGACTGAGTTGGGTACCACCTTGACGATGTCTTGTCCCTCATATTCATCCTGAACGGTCAAGGTTGTGAAAACGTGACTAACCGGTGTAACTATCAGCTGATTGCGAAGATATTGGTTTGTCATATATAAATTTGAGGACTAAAATATCTACTACATGTATGTATGTTAAACTGATTTCAGCATCGCGTTTCTCTGCTAGCAGCAGTGCTTGGGTTAAAATTAAACTTAACGGTTTTCTTAAAAACTCTGTTAACGGTTCTCTTATTACATTGTTTTCAGAACTCAAGGTGTCTCAGTCGAAAAAGCGCAAAATCGATTGTGATAGTGATTCTGAATAATATTTTATTTCAGTGTAAATTATCTTTTATATTTCTTTAATTAAGTTGGGATATAGGACATACCAAGCATTTTAAAAAGCAAAAAATATTGAAAAAAAGTTATTGGTTTTAGCCACTATGGCCACTGGAATGTTTCTGATGCAAATAGTGTATCAGGAAGTTCATCACGTTTCAAGTAACTAGATTGTGTCCCTTTTTTACGGATTGATTGGCTGGCAACCCAAACCGATCGTCTTATTTGTTCAGCTAGAGTAATGTCCTCGTGACATGCGACGAAGTAAGCTAGTGAGCCAACAAAACAGTCTCCTGCTCCCTACGAAAAAAGATTACATACTAAGTTAAAATAATCATATAAATTAATACAGTTTGGCACCCTTTATTCTGTTGAATAATAAGTAATGGCGTTAAAAGAGATTTACGGTGCGTTTTGATGTTTGTTGTTAATGATTCTCAAGTCACAAAGTGGTTGGTTATCTGCTTTCGACCGATATTCAGGGCATGATCAACTGTTTGTAAAAATCTATTTTCCTGTCAGTAAAAGCTATTCAAGAGGAGAGACATGCAAAGACTTATTATTATCAAGGGCGACATACTCATCTTAGACGTACGATAAAACATTAGTATGACTAGTTAGTAGGTAGGTAGTAGGACGAAATATACTGAACTTGGGCCCAAGTGATGATGCATCCTTCAAAAATGTAGAACGTGCTAGACAGCATCACGGTCTTGTCCAATTTCGTGACGCGATAACTCCGATAGTCATTCCAAATAAATGTATTAGATTGTTTTCAATCACATACTGGGACGTTACTGGAATTTCTCATCAAAATAGTAACATTGACTCGTTTAGACTAAAATAATTTACCCTAATTCCATCAAACTCGAAAATTGCTTTAAGGATTGGAGCTTCCCTTTCCTGGCAAGTAATTTTTAGGATATTCGGTTAAATTTTCGCGAAATCCGATACCCAGCAAATATAGAATTTTGCTTCAAGTCTGTCTACACCTTACTAAGAGCGCTTAATTTGAGTACTTAGCAATTTTGGGATATTGCTTTAGTGTTCACTGCAGACTTCGACTTATATGCAAGTTTGTTGAAGCAGTTAATAGGTCGATATTAATTTCAGGCATTGCAGACTTGACAATAGACTGCGAATAGCTCAAATGTACTACTTTTGTCCGTAAACCATAATACCCAATAGGCTTGAGGACAATGTTATGATAAGTCTCGGGGATTGTGTAGCCAGATATAAATACTTACTTAATTGCAGGCCGTACGCTATCTGGGGAGTCTGGAAATCAAACTCAGAGCACGTTAATGTTTAGCACCACATTAGAGTTCACTGTAGTGTTCAGTTACTCGCTTGTGAGATCTACACACGTCGACTGTCTATAGAATAGTCAAGCGTCTTTAATAAAAGATTTGCATCTAAACAATGAAAGTCATAACGACTTGTGGTTTTTAGTTTGTGTTTAATGTGAATGAGTTTGGGTTTTTGATGTACCTAATGGTTAGTAGTTGTTAAGGTTGGTATTTTACGAAAAAGCTTCATCCCTGTCATTTCTAGTGAAACACTGAAGAATAATGCTAACAGTTAACTTACTGTTGTATCAACTACATCAATTTTACTGGGTGCTGAGAAGTGCACTACCAACTTTTCTTGGTTTTCAATGGTAATACGAGCCACTTCGCTAGCGTCTTTGGCATTTACATTCTCCATATCTTGTTCAGATAAAATTGCAATAACTCCTTTACTTCCTAGAGTTATTATGGGGTATTTGATCTTTTTTTTAAGCAAATAGGTAAGACCAGGAATAAAAGCATCTATATTCAGTGAGCCAATCTCATCTTTAGAAAAAAGTGATTCAGAATCAGACTCAGTTATAGAACAAAATTCAGACTCATTTGGACATACAAAATCACAGCTTGACAAAATATCTTCCATTAATTCGTAATTCCCCAACTTCTCTGGATCTTCAGAAGCCACTGGCCCAGGTGCAGGATTTAAAATTGTCTTTGCACCTTTAGCACGACCAAGCCTCAAACTATAGAGTGTTGCCAGTGGATTGATCTAAAGTTATAAAAAGAATCAACTCTTCAGCCAATTAATGACCGATAATTAAGTTAATAGTGGATGGGCATGAAGGTCGAGGCAATTAGTGTTCCGCTACGTAACGACTGTCATATCAGGAACTCCCATTACAATTCAAAGATACAGTTAAAAATAACACAACATGAGTAATGGCATTTTCTGTTGGACACTTACTGTTGTATAGACGACCCTGATATGCTGAGTAGTTGGTGTCAGCGAATGACACAATATACGGAGTTGTCGTCTATGTTTGCCAAATTTGACTTCTCGCAAGTAGAGAACGGATAGGTCTAGTTTGAAGTAAAAGGACTTTCTGTTGTGTACGTTTTGTTCTCGAAACCTCTACACAAGCTAGTTATAGACTAGTGTTAATTTGTCAATTTTGAATGTATGTTTCACATAAGTAGATACATAGGCTGGGTGGGATTACTGTAAGCTAGTTTTGCATCCATCGCTAAAGCCGAAATAACACTGAACGAACGATCTTCCATAAAAGATGGACTAAGTATTGTAAATGTAGTCAGATCACTTGAAGGACTGAAATATTTGGCAAGTTAAGCTACATTTACCTGTTATAATTTAATACTTAGTAATTGGTGGTAAAGACTCGAAAGCCCTATTTGAAGTTTCTACTCCGACGTCGGGATTTTATCGGACTTCTGTTTGAGTCAGTCTTGATGCATCATGCTACAATTATTACAGGTATTCATTAATTTAATGTAGAGCAGGAAACTGTTACAATAAAAATAAACAGAAAATGAACCTCACAAATGAAGTAAAGGGTAATAAACCAAAAAATAAATTGACAAGAGGGAAGTTCATTTCACTCATAATGAATACGGCTGAAAACTACAGCACGATTACCAGCGTTTAGAATAAAGTAGAGCTACTTTTGCCAATAAGGTGTAAACTGGGATTTTTGCGGTCAGACGAAGCTAAAGATGACTTCGGATAAGCCATGAATGGGTTCTTTAAAGTATATATAAGGAGAAATGCATATGATAATGCTACATATTTATTTTGCATTCGCTAAGAAATATATGCTTTGCTACATAAGCCAATAAAAATTCCCGTTTCTTCAACAATAAGATGAAGAACAACTTGGTTTATGACTTATTACGACACTAACAAGGTCTGCATATGAAACGTTGGGCTAGTCCACAGTTCTCTACATGCTTGGCCTCTGTTGTCGATGAAATTGAAGACGCTTCTGCTTAGTGTGTGTATTTGTATGATTGCTTATAATTTTGCTGGGATGTCGAAACAGTGAACCTTAGCGTTAGCATCATGTAAAAAGATACTAAGTTCAATAGACATGTTAGGGTTTGTGGTTTAATTGATAGCTAATCAAATCATGATTGCAGTAAACTTACTTCAAACTGACAAATCATTACTTTTGTATCCAAGAGGGTTAGTTTCTCTGCAAGAGAAATGTCTTTTTCTGATACAAGCATATTTGCACCTGGGACGATGATAATTTGATTTCCACCTGCTCCTGTTTCAACTGTAATCGACGCAACTCCAGTACTATTCATTGATGATCTTGATACACCGTCTAAGTTTAAATAAGGATATTGTCAAGTAATATACTAGTACATTATACGAAAATGCACTGGACAAAGAAACTAAATTACTATTTATAAGGGAGTGATTAGGACTAGAACTAGTAAGAAATGTCTTGATAAAGGCGAGTAAATGCCCTGGTATGGCCGAGAGTGGGGAGAGTCCGCTCTCCCTCTCGAAATGCTCTCACATGGCCACGAGTATATAGCCTCTGCCAGGGAAGTCCTACTCACTGCCTTCTCGTGGCGGGTATGTTGTTTACGAAAATGAGAGGACGAAAAGCGAATGTCCGGCGCTTTAACCGGGTTGGTGGACATAAAGAGTCCACCTAGAGGAGTTGGAAAACCCTGATTCCAAACCAATGGTGCACATGGGCTCCAGTATCCTGCCTGAGGGAACAAATGGCGTATGAACCAATCGTTGGTCACCGGCTACCATGGGACTGCATCTCCTGACGTTGCTCGACTGCCTTTTGTATCAGACCTGTGGGTCGAAGGCTCCGTGTGTGGTCTCCTAAGAAAACCACCTACTTCGGTTTGGGCACCCGGGCAGTATCACAGCTCTCGCACAAATCAAATGAGATTCGTGTGGCGCATATGTCTCTGGTGTCTCCATGTACCAATATCTATGTGTTAAAATAAATAAATAAGTAAAAGCAACCAGGATATGTTGCCGAATCAGGCGTGTTGTTACAAAAAATCCTAATTACTTTTCGAAACAGTTCAAATTAATTAACTACGCCTGCATAATGAATGATGACAGGATATAAATTATTGTTTCGACAGTAATGGCTGCTTGTTTACATTTATGGGGTGTAGGAGAAGATAGGAATTAATTTGTGCAAATATTGTTAGATCATTGACATTTTCCTCAGATTTCACTTACCAGTGTTCACTCCAAGTTGTTTTAAGTGCTGAATAAACATTTCACCAAAGTAGTCATCTCCAACTTTTCCTATTAGTGCAGTGTTGCATCCCAGTACTCTGGAAGCCACACACTGATTTGCTCCTTTTCCCCCGTAACCAAGAAGAAAACTTGAACCAGTTACTGTCTCTCCTAGCTTTGGAAGAATACTCGTGAATCTAGGAATACAACACATTAGGATTATTTGAAATTACACAGATAGGTCAACGTTGAGTGAGCCAACAACTGTGACGTGAGGTTTTGTCATAGTAGCGAATTTCCTGCTTGTGTCAAAGAATTGAGAAAACATTTGTACACTGGGTAGATAGAGACTTAGGAATATCTAATGTGTAAAAATGATCGTTGGAGATAGAAAATGCACATAGTGACTAGGACTGGGTTTTGTTAGGAGAATCTTTAGCGATGCAATAAAGACCCATCACATAGCTTGAACAAACTTACAATGCAGAATGGGAAATGGCGATGAGGCATATTCCATTACACTTCCGTTTGTTACGTATTAAAAAAACGTACGTAGAGCCGACTGTATCAATCAACAAACTTGTTTGGCTACATAGAGGCTGGGAATGTAGTTGCATGTTAGTTGTGTAGACCAATTCGTAACTGAAAAGCATCATCTCACTCATATGACGATTATTATATTTCCTTTTTTTACCTCATATGCAGGGGTCTACTGATAATTACATAAAAAATATCCATACATAAGTTTACAGCAAATATGTGGGATGATAAGATGTGTACCAACTTCAATGGGATGACGTCAGATGTGGTGACAGAGTTGCATGTTTGGTTAGCATTGCAACATCTGGTCATTCCGATGTTAAGTACATAGTTCAGAAGAATGGAAGGATAGGCTGCAGTAAATGCAGTGCCATGCCATTTTAATGAAAGGACCACATGTTCTGGTGGGAGATAACGAATTGTGGAGTGATCTCATAAAGAGCTATTTTACTAATGCTGGAGCATAGGTATCGATAAATCCTCACTGGTTAGCCGCAAGATTATCTAGATTTTCATGGCGCATTCGCAACCGATCTAGAAACTATATCAAGCAGGTTTGAACTAGCAAATTATCCTTTTCCGGATGCTTGGAATGGAGTTATAAATCCTCTTATATGTATTTTTTAGTAAATGAATGTTGCAGCACTCAAGTTATGGTGAGAAACCACTGAGTTTTTTATTGTATCGAAAGGGAGATCAGTATTAAATTTACCAAGTATATCCACTCAGTTCATACCCTTCTACACTTATAGACTTCTAAATAGTGATATGAAGACTGGAAAATAATGATTTCGTAAACGTTTAACATGTAAATCACAAGACTTTAATTAATTTTGTATTTGGTCTTCAAGCAGGGAGTTTGCAGCTACACACGCCATTGCTGCAGAACAATACTAATTACGGAGATGATATCACAGATCGTCTATATGAAACATAATCGTATATCATTGTCGAATTGAGAATTGACAAATTCTAGTGACAGAAAGTGATTACATACTACGTAAACAGCGAGACTCTAATTTAGGAACGACCTTTGAACGAATTCTAAGTGACCTTGAGAATAATAACCAATCAGAAGACAGCTAGTATAACGTAGAAATATATTAGAAGAAACTAATGGATTACAGTGAATTTACTTCTTTTACATGATTGAAAAGCTTATCAAGGTTTGGTAAAGTTCCAGATGTTTTGAAATCATATTGCATACGGTGTAAATAGTCATGAATCCCAAGTACCTGTCGAGTATATTAACGGAAATGCTACTTACCCAATCCTACTTTATACTACGTCCCCTGTTGTATTTTCGCTTCCTCACTGCCGTTTCATCTGTCTGCACGATACATCCTACTCCTCCGAATGATTGTTGTACAAGTGTTATTTTAGTTGCACATATGTCACGGCAGTACTCATATCACTGGACTGCTGAAGTTTCATAATCAACTGCAAACGCCGCAGCCGGTGTTACTGGTGTGTTTATTACCCAATTTGCAACTTTTATCATAATCTGATTCAGTTTCAGTAGCAATCGAGCAAAGAAAGTCCCCATTCTAGCAGACTTTCTCCTCCAACATGAAGGACAACAAAATATAATCTCACCACGGTGGTTTGCACACTTTACTGCGGTCATTTGATAACCGCAGTCTCACGTACAAGAACGTTTTAGCAATCCTATACATTGTAGCCTCTAAATAATCACACCTCTAAAATACGCTGTAAACCGATCATATGTGAGCATCAGGTGTTAAACTTGGCTCCGTGACCTTGAAACGGCTAAGACGCTTCTGATTGGCTCGTCCTTAAATTAGAGTCTCGCCTCCTAACTCCAAATCCGAATCACGGAACACTTTTGAACCAAGTGAGTTTGTGTCTTCTCAAGGTCACACACTTTCGCCTGTAGATTTCAGATTCAGATTTGTGTAGGAAGGACAGAAGGCCTATGTTTTACCCCTTCCAGTATGCTTCTATGAGTATCCAGTCTTCTGTGTGATTTAATCGAAAGTGTGAATACCACTGCTTCGAATAACGTGTTCCAAGTATTAATGACTCTATGTGAAAACCTGTACGTCACAAATATTTTGCTCGTTCTTGGCTTTTCTACTCGCCTACTATGTCCTCTGAGACGTTCCATTCTAGTGGGAAGAAAAAGAGAGTATTTTAGGTCCAAAGTCATTTCATAGTGAAGATGCCACAGGTATTCGGAGTTTGACAACGCTTCAGCTTTTCAAATTATTTTCTGTAGTTTCGAAATCCTGATGTACGCAAATGCTTGGAACACCTTGTAAAGACTAGACGGTCTGATACATGAGCTTCGTTTTTCGTAACGCATTATATTAATTTTACTCAAAAGTACGAACATCTGAGGATCCATTTCCCACGGGCGTATGATTACATCAAAGATTACTGGATTGCCCGGAAGTCAATGTGGGCCCGTTGTTACCAGCGACATGTATTAAGCCTGGGTAACCACACGAACAACCGTGTCGAAAGTGCTCATAAACATCTAAAAGAATGTCTTAGAAGAGGTGATTCTCTGCTATTGACGCTCTGGAAAATTTAGAACAAAACAGATACTGACCTATGTTTGCGTCCATATGACGCTGTGAAGGATCGTCAACGTTTTCCAATTCTTGAGGTAAGAAATATAGTTAAATGTTTCATTAGTTCCAGGTTCCTATGTCATTTCGAACTCTTTTAAATTAGTTCACATCTTTTGCAGCTAAAATTGCAGCTGTAAATTATAAACGTATTAGGTTGTAGTGACCTACTTTTGTCAACAGAACACGATTGGTTCGATGAAAACAATTATTATTATAACCAATTGTACCAGTGACTGTTTTACTGTGCTCGTTTGTTTAACTGTGCTAAGAACAGCCATTTTGGGCTTCCATTGTATTCCATTGCTTTTACGCGGCTTTTGACTACGCACGTATCTTATCTTGCCGATCGCAACTGTACTCCTTTGGCACGATCTCGGTATTCTTTCGATACCACGAGATCGCCAACAAATATATACGACTACTACAATCATTTGCCTTCTGATATTTTGGCCTATCGGAATTTTATTGGTCTATTGGCAAGTAGTCTGGTAGCGGTGTTCATAGTTCAGCTCAACTCGACACCACGCTACATTTGGTGACCCAAATTTTGGAACACGCCTCAACTTCGGTCAAATCTTCTGCAACTGGTGAACCTACATCTACGACCACTTGGCAATCGCAACCAAACCTTCCAAAGAAGTCAATTTTGGTGAGTCTATCGCTTATCTATCCACGTCTGTCATATATTTCCATATTAATTTTTAATATATATATTTGACATGACGGATAACGATAAGAATAGTATTAATATAATAGACTCCGATGTACGCGTACCGAACCCTCGGCACTTTTTATTCGCGTGACGATAAATTCCACGCCTTATTCGAGAAATTCCCCAGATTAACTAAACCACTCGAGGAGATTTCATCGGTGACCAATCGTGTGGTACACCACATAGTCACCCGCGGACCACCAGTCACGACAAGACCACGCCGACTGGCATCGGACAAATTAGCTTTCGCTAAACGTGAGTTGGACAATTTACTATCTGCTGGTATTATTCGTCCTTCTCACAGTCCTTGGGCCTCTCCTTTACACATGGTGCGCTAGAAGGATGGGGTTAGTTGGAGACCTTGCGGCGACTACCGAGCATTAAACGTAGTTACGCGCTTTGATAGCTACCTCATCCCCCACATACACGACATCACGGCATCGCTCAAGGGCACGACTATCTTTTCTAAAATCGATCTGGTACGAGCATATCACCAGATCCCAGTCGCTCTTGAAGACATCGAGAAAACTGCTATCACGACTCCTTTCGGTCTGTTTGAGTTCCTACGAATGCCATTTGGATTACGGAATGCTGCTCAAACTTTCCAAAGGTTTATCGATAGCATAGTACGAGACTTGGATTTTGTTCACGTCTATATTGATGACCTGCTGATCGCATCATCAAATGTAGATGAACATTATCAACACCTTACGCTATTATTCCAACGTCTTTCGGATAATGGAATAGTAGTCAACCCAGAGAAATGTGAGTTGGGTAAATCAGAAATAATATTTCTGGGTCAGATCATCAGACAAGAGGGTATTCTGCCTTGCGAGGACAAAGTTCGAGCAATCAAGGAGTACAACGTGCCGTCCTCACTCAAGGAACTGAAGGCTTTTCTCGGTTTGGTTAACTTCTACCGACGTTTTATCCCTCACGCGGCAGAACGGTTACGACCACTAACCGATTTACTACGCGGTAATCCACGCAAATTAGAACTGAACGATACCGCACGTACTGCATTCTCAGAGATCAAAACGGCTCTCGCTGAAGTTACACTTCTCGCTCATCCTGACCCATCAGCCACGCTTAGTATAGCGGTTGATGCATCAGATTTCGCTATAGGAGCCGTTATGCAACAGAATATCTCCGGTAGTTGGCAACCGCTTGAATTTTTCTCACGACGCCTTACTCCCACGGAGACGAGATATAGCGCTTTTGGTCGCGAGCTGCTTGCAGCCTACTGCGCCATCAAACATTTCCGGCACGCGGTAGAAGGACGTCAATTCATCTTATTCACCGACCATAAGCCCTTAACGTATGCCCTGCATACCAAGTCTGACCGCTACTCACCACGAGAGTGCAGACATTTGGACTATATCTCACAGTTCACGACAGACCTTCGTCACATTAAAGGCGAGTCGAACTATGTTGCCGATGCTCTTTCACGTATCCAGACGAATGCAGTTACTTTACCGGTGCTCGATCTTCCTGCTATGGCCGCCGCGCAAGCAAACGATCCTGTCTGTACAGAAGCACCACAATCTTCGTCCCTTCAGTGTCAGGAAGTACCCCTAGCTACTAGCTCAGGTACTATCCTATGTGATACTTCTACCGGTCTACCTCGACCCATCGTACCCTCTACCTATCGCCGTCTCGTCTTCGATGCCCTCCATGGATTGTCTCATCCAGGTATCGCAGCCACATTACGCCTCATCGCTGCACGATACGTCTGGCCGTCCATGAATAAAGATGTTCGTATGTGGGTAAAGCAATGCTTACAGTGTCAACGATCAAAAGTGCACAGGCACGTAGCTGCCCCCATTGGCACGTTCGCTACGCCTGATGCTCGCTTTGATCACGTTCATATAGACATTGTAGGACCATTGCCACCATCGCATGGGTATGATCACATACTCACGTGCATTGACCGTTTTACAAGATGGCCCGAAGCTATTCCCATCACGTCTATCACGGCGGAGACAGTTGCTCACCGCTTCGTAGAACGATGGATAGCATTGTACGGTTGTCCCTCGACTGTCACGACTGACCGAGGACAACAATTTGAGTCCGCATTATTCTCCTCACTGACCCGGCTGCTTGGTACGGAACGCATACGCACTACCGCCTACCATCCAGCATCGAATGGTTTAGTCGAAAGGTTTCATCGCCAACTTAAAAGTGCTCTTCGAGCACACGAAAACGACAATTGGTACGAAACCTTACCGCTCGTTCTCTTAGGCATCAGAACGAGTTTGAAGGCAGATATTCAATGTTCCGCCGCTGAACTTGTATACGGCACGACATTGCGTCTGCCTGGGGAATTCTTCACACCACGGAGCAGTAATGATTTCGGTAAATCAGACTACGTCCATCGACTGTCTGCATTTATGCGAACGCTGTCTCCGGTGTCAACTCGAATACAACATCGACAGGTCGCTCTCCCTCGAGAGTTATCTACCTGTTCACATGTTTTCATACGAGTAGATTCGGTACGCAAACCTCTACAACAGCCTTACGAAGGCCCTTTTCACGTGATCTCTCGTCACGAAAAGACCTTCAAGGTTGATCGACACGGCCGCGTCGAGATCGTCAGCATTGATCGTCTCAAACCAGCACACGTCGATGACAGTGCCCTACCCAATAACTTGAGACTCAATGCTAGACCTACCAAACCTTCTAGCGGGATCTCTACGTCTACCTCGGATCCCACGCTAGATACATCAGAGACCTCGTTCTCACGTCCCGGTCAACAGCACGCGTCATCTGCACCATCTACGGACGAGACTTCCGTCTCACGTCCAGATCGGCAGACCACGCCGCCCTTGACCTCGGATGAGATCGCAGGCTCACGAAGTACGAACGAGACCACCGTCTCACGTTCCGGTCGCCGAGTACGATTACCCGTACGCTTTCGCGACTAACCGCACAGTCAATAACGGATACGGTGTAGGATTATTCCTATACTACACGCATGCTACACTTTTCTTTTTTTGATTTTTTTTCTGTATCCTGAGCCCACGCCTCCGACCATCGTCCATTTGATAACGTCGACTTCAGTCAACTTTGGCGAAAGCTGGTTTGGCCACCCACGCTCTAGTCAACGCACTCAGTCGATTATCTGGTTTCGAATTCGCCTGGCATACGCTTGGTCTTTATGGTCGCTTCCGGTTTCTTGGCTCAACGTGGTTTCGTCCTACGTCTGCAGCGTTTTCTGGTCCACATCCCTACGAACGCAATCTTCAGATTCTGGATACAAACCACTCTGGTGTGGTATGCTAATTCGACCAACAAATACAGCACACTTCTGGTACCGTTCTGCGCAAAAGACCTTCGTTGGCAACTCGAGGATCAACGATCACTTCCTGTTCCGCCAATTTCCTCCGTCCTACAACCGCAATTCTGCCGATCAGTCCCACGAATCAAACCGCTAACTATCGAAAGTGTAAACCCTTTCTAGCGGGGGGCTCCTGTAGTGACCTACTTTTGTCAACAGAACACGATTGGTTCGATGAAAACAATTATTATTA